TGGCTAGCATTAACCCCTTGTGCTGTCATTCATTTTTGATGCAAACCTTCTTTGTGTATTTATATGCTTATTCACTACCTTCTTTCTTTTGTATTTGCAGCAACTATCTCATTTGAAATAGTATTGGCCACTTCTTGTGTTTTGCATTCTTACTTCTCAGAAAAACTGTGTTCAGTTGTGCTTTAGGTAGGTTGTCTTATAGCACTGCCAAGCCTCTTTCTGCTTTTCTGCTCCATTTGCCTACGTTCTCATATTGGAAAGTAGTTCAGTTCCTGAGTTCTTCAAAATTCATTTTTCTGAAATCCGGTCCTGTTGTGCTTTTGAATTCTGTGTACCTGATCCTTACATGAATGAAATCAAAGAAGCCGATTGATTCATCTAGGAATGTTATTTTCCTGTTTTCTGTTCTCCTCACATTCTCCCTCACTTGCTCTATGCAGATAAGCATCTTCAGGAAAGTTGTTTTGGGGGGAGGAGTGTTTGTTTTGTTGGTTTCTCCCCCTAATTAAGTCTCTCCTTTAGTCTGAGGTTTCTTTTATTTGGATGATCAGGTTTACCTTCCACAGAGCATACCTTATGAAATGTTTTGATTCATTGCTGACCTGCTCTGTTTTTTATCAAATATCTCCAAAGTTCGGTGTCCTGGGTTCTGAGTATCCCAAAAGTTGGTTCAAGGTCTTGGAGATGAGTGGCTTGTTAATATTTGAGGCCCTGTATCAGACTTTCAGTTCATGAAAACATTTTTCAAACTCACTTGTAGCATTTGCATATTCTAAGGTGGATATCTTCTAGGAGCTTAGTTTCTGCTAGCAGCAGTTAAATTAACTAGCATAAATTCTTCAGGAGAGCTACAAATTAATCTTCTCAGATGTTAGAACAGTACTGGCTTGTAGCAGCTCGCCTTCCCTTCCCTGCCACTGGAGAGGCAGGCGAGACACGGGTGTACATGGCATGGGGGTTTACTTTGTCCTAAACTGAAGCTTTTTTTTAACGCACTGTTTCAATTTAGGGTGAAGTAAACCCCTGTTTTGTCTACACAGAGTAGGCACCTATCAGTGTTGCCACTTTGCCTGACCAGAGGAGTCTCTGTAGAGCACCAGGAGATGGGCTTCCTCTATCTGGGGGTTGAATCAGGTGTTTCTGCGTTACCACCAGCTTTGGTCACCTGTCAAGCAAAAGCCAAGGGATCAACCTGGGTATCATGCACCGAAATGCTCAAGGCCAATGATTCAACATGATCCTCCCTGCACTGTCTGCTACCAAAGTTAGATGATGCCTCTTTTGAAACCTATGGGGAATACTGCACAATGGAGTGCAACTTAATTGTCATTGATAGATTGCAGATCAAACTTCTGCAGCAGTGTAGTCATCTCTTCAGACCTCAGATTCTTTCAGTGAGCTCACATGCCATTTCTTTTAATCTATAGTGATGAATATCATATTTTGTTCCTCCTATTGTAGTTAGAAGCAGGTGGCACTATGTAGAACAAAACTATGACTTTACTTGAGTGAGAACAAAGGTGGTAGAAACTACTGCTGGCTAATGATCATTCTGTTCTTTACTAATGCCTCGGGTGTACACAGTTATTCCCTCTATTTTACATGTCTTCCACCAGAGGAAAGTTCGTAAAGGGAAAATGTCATGTTTTTCTTTCTCAGGATGAGACAGAAAATAATTTGATGCTAATTGTTACAGTTGTAACTTCTTCCCTAACCAGATAGAAGTTCCCTCAGCAATCTACTACTGTATTGGGCACAGGGAAAGCTTCTAATAATGAAGCAAGAGACGCCATTCTTCCTCTGTTTCCTATACAACCATTCTCTAGCCTTACAACTCATTTTTGTGTTTCTGGATTAGCTAAAGAATAAACTGTAAAATACAATAATGCATCAGGAATGCAGTTGTAATGTTTGTCTCTGAACTCTGCTCAACTTAAACTTGGCAATTTTTCTGGAGTCTGAAGTAGAAAATAGTCACGTTAGCATCCATTTGCATAGAATTCAGCATTTCAGCCCCTCCCTTCATAAATTAATGTGAAGCCATTTTTGCTACTCAAACGGTAAAGATATGGTGAAAAACTGCTCTGGGATCTACATGTAAAAACAAATGACAAGCGATCCTTGGTATAATATTAGAGGAAATAAGGGATCATGCTAAGTGGCTTTAACTACAATTGAGTTATCCTGCCTTTTATCATGAGGGAAAACAAATACCAGGAAGGATCAGCTGATACCTTTTCTCTCAGTTCTGGGCTCATCATCAATCTCTCTCCTCATAGTTTAATCTGTGCAACACCTGATGATGTGGTATATTTTTATTGTCATGGGTTAAGGTTGATCTTATTAAACACTGAGGGTGGAGCCAAGAGTGAGTTATGCCATTTTGTCCAAATGTGGAATTAAATTTAGCAGTTTCCACCATCATATTGGGTTTTTTTACCTTTTGGATTCAACCCAGTGGTGTGTTTTTTGCTCTTTCACAGTTCCTGTGTGACTCCTCCCTTCACTTTTGGAACACGTAGTTCATCTCCATGGACTCGTTCCTTATTCAGGCAAAACCATAACTGAAGTTGACAAAGACTCTGACATAAAAACAGAAACAGTATCGATGGAGAAAAATGACATGGGTAAAGGTGGTTCTTAACCATGCCCATAACTGAAGCGCAATTCATTGTTGCATGCTTCACTCCATAAACAAAAGGTTTATTTAAATGGGATGAGATGTGATGTCTCCTTAGTACAAGCCCTGGGAAATGAAGAAATAACAAGTAAGGGCTCCTCTTATCCCACAGGGTCAATACCCACAGGACACATTTCCACTGACAGACTGTTGGCATTTACTTCTATCAGCAGTGGATGAGGAAACTTCATTCACCATGTTAATCTTCCTTGCAATATAACAACGCTTCATTTGCGACCTCATACTTTCCCCACAGAGACATACCATATGTCAAGCCTGGATGTTTGCTGGTGCTGCCAAAATTGTAATTAAAGCTTTGCATTGTACCGTAAGGGAAATTAATGTGCTATTCATTTGAAGGCATCTCACCACTCATTCCCTTTTTCTGCAAGAGATTGTCTGGGGGAGGTCACACTTAAGCTATAGGCTGTGAGGAAATAGAGAGCAGGTGTGTCTGAGGTGAAGAAAGTTGGCAAGCATGGTGGGGGGAAAAGGGTGAGCTAATTCCATACATATGGAGGCCAGTTTATCTCTAACTCCAGCAGAAGAGTGCCTGTGTTCCTGGTGTGGTGACTTCCTATCAGGTCCTACAGCAGAGCCTCTATCAAAGCCATTGAACTGCTCATTCTTAGATCCAAGATGGGATTTTATTAGCTTTTCTCTTGCAAGACCACCAGCTGCTGCTCTCTAACTAAGCCAGGGTTCATGGCACAATCAGTCCTGTGCTTCACTGTGGGGCACAAGTCATGTCCATGGCACTCTCTTTGCTGAGGGGTGGCCTCTTTTTCAGAGAGACCCAGCAAAAACTTGTAAGTATGTTACATTTCTGCTGACTACCGCTCTCAGTTAGAAGGTAAATGGGAGACTGACAGGGGTGTGCGAACCAGGCCCTGTTTGATTCAGATTTGGATTTGGCCCGAATTGGGGACAGTGATTTGATTCGTTGATTCAGATCACTCTCCCTGATTCGATTCAGTTGAATCCGAATCTGAAGATTTGATGCTGATTTGGAGAATCAGCGATTCAGACAAAGACACAGCTTTAAAATTTTTTTCTATATACCTCAAGGTACCAGGTGTGGCTTGTGAATGCTGAGATGGTGGGGCAGATGGAGCATCCCACAGGAGGGCAGGGAGGCCCTCCACATGTTTGGCGGTGAACCCAGAAGTGGTTGGGAAGTACTTCTGGTCCACTTCTGGGTCTGCTGGGGAGTGAACTGGGGGCCCCCCATGCCTCCCCAGCTCAGCGATTGGCCGCAGGGGGACCCCGGGTGCCCCCCCTAGACCTAGGAGGCACCAGTCACTGAGTTGGGGAGGTGAGGGGGGGCCCCCTAGCACACTCCCCGGAGGACCCAGAAGTGGACGGGAAGTGCTTCTGCTCCACTTCCAGGTCTGCTGCTAAGTGCGCTGGGGAGCCCCCCATGCTGCTGTGGGACATTCCATGTGCCCCAGCATCACAGCACTCACAAGCCCCTGAGTGCATGAAGTTGGGTGGTGGCACCACTATCAGCTGTTTTAAAAAGTAAACAATGAGTCCTGCTTCATCCTTTTGGGAAAAAAAATAAAGGTAAGTGTCCTTTTAGGACACCTTTTAGGAAAAGGCTAAGTGGTCTAGATCCTGAGTAACTGTTGGCACTTGTCTGCAGCCCTGACTGAGGTATCTAATTTCCAGAGAGGCAGTTCAGATACACCCCTGCGCTTAGTGTTGCCTATTGGCAGGGCCAGATTAATTCATAGACAAACTAGGCACATGCCAAGGGCCCTAAATTAAGGGGCCCAGTTGTGCTTATTTTACATATTATTATTACTGAGTGAAAAAAGTAGGGGTCCATGAGTTTGTTTGCCTAGGGTCTACTAAAGGGTTAATCCAGCCCTGCCTGTTGGCCAGCAGTAGGCAGTGTGCAGGGTTTTCAGTCTCATTCTGAAGTCCTTAATATTCTCTATGCACTGTACAGGGAGACTAAGCACTTCCCTCCGGGTTTTGGATTCCACTTCAGGAATCAGGTGCTTAAACATTAAATGTTGCATCATCTATCTTGTAGCTGCCCAAGCCTTGTTTGGATATAGCCCTAGATCATGATGCATATACACAGAGGGGTTGAGTTAAGCTTGAATGATGAGAAGATGCATTTTGTATTTCCTAACTTAAGTCCTTGAGTTAACTTCCAGCGTTAACAGCGTTCCATTAAACTATTTTGTGTGTAATATCCAGACAGTTCAAAAGAACTTTTTCCATAAGTCGGTGTTATAGGGTGCAGTGGAAGCGGTGTGTCCTCACTACCCAAATAGGTGATTTCAGATTGGATTGCTTATTTTAACAGGTTCTCAGTGAAACTACTGTAAGAAAGCCTGCCAGAGAAACGGAAGAGGAGAATACTTCTGAGAAGGCAAAATGCTACAGTCAAGTGCTGAGTCAGCTGGAGGTGAGAGGATCCTCTTATTTTGCACTGATAACTTGCTTTAATTCATAGCAGTCAGAGTTTCTCAAGCTTTCCTAACAAACTGGAGGCCACAAACAGAACACTAAAGGAACAGGAGAATGAGGTGGTGCTGCCTGTTCCTCTCCTGATGCAATGCCTTAATGGTCTGAGCATTTGCCTAGTAGGAGGGAGGCATGGGTTAAATCCTGAATCCTAAATTATTGTCCTAATTGCAATGATACAGACTGTTCTGAGGGTGGGTTACTTCTATTCCTTCCTATTGAAACTTTGGCCAGGTACCATCTTGGCCATCCAAACTGAGGGAGATTGACCTGGCCAGCCTTGCTCTGCAACAGCAGTTCTCAACCTCTGCTGCACCCACCTTATGTCCCACCAACCTTTTTTTCAAAAAACCCTGGTTCCACCATGACAAAAACAAAACCCCACAAAATTGCATTGTTTAAGATATTTGTTGGTTCATCTATTTGAAGTGCAGACAACTGACTTTTTTCAATTGGGCAATGAGTTGAAATCCCCCCTATACAACCTTCAAGTCCTACCAGTGGGACATGTCCCACTGGTTGAGAAACACTGCTCTACAGAGTTAGCAGGTCTCTTTTGATTGGTCCTTGCCAGGCTGGGGAGGACACATGGCATTGTCCACTGGCAGGGATGAAGAAGAAGACAGAGGGTTTTTCATTTGTGGTGTAGGGGTTCTTTGAATTAACATTGTATTGGTTTGGGGAAGAAAGAGTTTTATGCAGTTTAGGTGATAGCCATATAGACCATGTAGAAATCTCCCCTGGGTGTGAGGCAGGGGAGTGGATGGGTAGCTGGGAAGGAATGAGTGAAAAGAGGTTTTGTATACATGGAGGTTTTCTATACATGGGAGTTGGGAAGTACAGTTGGAATGGGTCAGAGGGTTTGCTTTCCTGAGTAGTGGGCACTGGGCAGGGAAGCTGGAGTGGCTGCGGTGGAGTTTTCAAGTCTTAGGATGTCATCTGGGGAGTCTGTTTCTTACCTTGTGGATTGCCTGTTATTGTAAGCAGCTCTGAGCATTTCTGGGTAGAGTGGAATGATGATGATAACAATAGACTAACTAAAGGTTCATGGGAGGGGAGTGGGGGAGAGAGGGAGAGAAGGCATGCTTCTTTACATGATTCAAGAGCTGGTCATGTGTTTTATATTAAATAATCATACTGAAATGGCAATTGGAGCAGACTGAAACTTAGACCTCTTTCTTTCCTGGTGAGTGCCATTGGACTACAGTCCTGCTCATGCCATCTGGTCCAAATGAATCTTGAATTTTTTTATGCCATGGGTGGCAAGCTTATAGGCCACAAGTCAGATCCAGCCTGCAAAGCTGATCATGTGGCCCACAGGACTCATACAGGGTCTGGGAATTTGGGAGTGGAACAAGTAGTGGCCAGTCCTTAAATCTAGGGCACAAGAGTCTGCTGGGGACCCATGTTGGCAGCAGAGGGGCAGACAACAGCTGTGTAAACACCTCCATTCACCAATGCTACTTACCTCACCACTGCCTGCCCTATTAGTGCCAGCCTCTGAAGAGCCTCCTGGTCTAGATGGGGGGGGCTAGAGTGAGTTTGACACCCCTGTTTTATGCAATGTGAAACCATTTCACCGGGATGATTTGAAAGTGCTCTGAGAAGTCTGTAGCCTGGTGGTTAAGATACTGTAGGGATGTGAGGGAGGGAAAGGTTTGCCTTCCCTTGTGAAAAAGTGGAACTCTTTCATCTTGGATGCATGTTCTAACCAATGAGTTATTGCATAACGGGATGTGTATGGCTGCTCCTGATTTAAAAGAGGGAAATGCCTGACTCCAACTTTTGTAACCTTTAATATTAACTACTTTAACTGGGATCTCCTCTTCATTTGAGCTCCATTCTCCTCATTTCTCCAGAGTCATAAAACATGTTGACATCAACTTATTTTCCTTGGTGTCTTCTATCCTTTCTGACTGCTGTCTCATCATTGCTGCCAAAAGTACCTTGACATAACTGGAATCAAAGTTCTTACCATCAGTTACTTCTGTAGTTACATCTGTAGGTCTTACTGTGAGAGTTAATTCTATCTATACCTCACGATTACAATACCAGACAGCACCATATTGTTCCCTCTGCACACATTCCTCCTGAACTAGAAGTAGTGAAACTGCTTCAGTGCAGTGCTTTTGCACACTGGATGTGCACAACACTGCTCTACAACAGCTACATAACTTCTAGTTTGGAAGTTGGTTGGGCAAAGCAAATGTGGTGTGTCTCAGCATAGTGCTGATTGGCACTGTAATGTGAGGGGTACAAACATGCCTTCAGTTACAATATAATGAATATTGTTCTCTTCTAAAGATATTTATTACATAAGCACAATTACAATGAAAACATGTATGTCTGAGGTTCTAAAATTTATCTCTGAGCATCTTTCTGATGAAGAATTTTTTCTCCGATAGGATCATACTTCCCTTTTACCCAAACCTGGGCTACTTAGCTTTATTAAAAATTGCTCCATCTCTAGTTGAAACTGAATTATGGGAGGAATATTGAATTGTTTATAAAGGAACTACTTGGTGGGCCTTTTCTATCTGCCTGTTTTGTGTGGGGTTCTGAAAGAGGGTTAAATTCAGAGGAAGCCAAATTTGGAATACAATTAAAAAAGAAAAATAAACCTTTTAACTCAATTCTAAGTAAGATTCAAACCAAAGTTTGCTGGCCATTTACTGTAGGTTGCCTGCTTGCCAATTCATGTCCTCTTTCAGCACATAGCAATTAAAGGTGATTAATATGCAGCTTCTTCATTCCAGTGAAATTTAAGCAGCATATAATTATCTCTGGCAGTTTAATGCATGTGAAATATTTTGCTGAACTCTTGCTGTTTCAGCCAGAAGATGTATAAGTGGTATTCCCTTCTATATTTTCTCATAATAATTGGGTCAGAGAATGCTCTGTAGATATTTGCCTCTGGAAATTCAGAAGGGCGAAATGACTTCAATCTTTTCTCTTTGGAAGGCTACCATTAGGTAAACACACTGGAAATTAAGCTATCCTGCCTATTCACTAGGAAGTTAAGCAGTAGAATAAACTGGTGTCTATGCATAATCAGTAATCCAAGACTCCCAGCTCAAAGTCAGTTGCTTACTTAAGAACATTCTCAAATGTGGGGTTTTTTCCCCGAAATAAAATCTTTACTGCTTGCTTTTAATGCACAAGATGATTAATCATTTCTTTGTTTAACAAGTTTAGCAAGAGCTTAGGAGGATGTGAAGAGTAATGCTAAACTACTTCAACTTCCTTCACCTGAAGGGAAAAAGCCTATCTTAAATTATCTGCAGATAATGCAACCTTGTGAGACAGGAATGTTCATGTGCTCCGAGGCTCTTTTTAAGGTCTTCTTGCACAAAGTGAATATATGATGCTTCTAACATTAAGAAAGAATAGTTAAGGCAGGAGAATCTCAAACATGGCTTGCAACTCTTACAAAAAACATAAAAAAGACTATAAATACTAGATCAAATTTTCAAATGAGTGCCTAGAGGTAGACTAAAAAATAAGGGCTGCATTATTATGTCTCTTTCACCTGGATTTAGGCATTTATGTTTGAAAATATTGGCCAGTGCTTATGTTTTGTTTCCTTTGAACTTTAAAACTAATATAGCTGGTGTGCCTACAAGGAGCGAATGAACTGTTGGTCTGAAACCATTTTATATGCCAGATATTACTGTACATTACCCAAGTAATTTACTTTCATTCTAGATTTATGGTCTAAACATTTAGGACATCCAAAGTAAATAGATTTTTTTTGTGGAGGATTTGGTCGTCTAGAGAGAATCTTGAGATGTTTCTTTGTATGGTGAAGCAATCTTTTCTCCTCCAATTTTTGGATAGAAGAATTGGTTCAAAAGGCAAAGATCACTACTGGACTGTGCTCCACAATAAGGTGAGAGTGTTGTAGCAATAATTTTTGTAGTTGATGGATGTCGAGCTTATCAGGAAAGATCCTTTCAAAGCTGCAAGAGAAGAAAAACAAATTAAGGGCAATTTTGAACCCTTTCCAACTAGTTGAAATGTATTAGATAAAGTTGATGGTCTATAAATGATTTAATGTGCCTGAAACTGTTGGGTAAAACCAGAGATCTGATCATGAATTTTTAGTGTGTAACATTCTGTATAATATAAAATAGTTATTGCCTGTCATCCTGATCCTACCAATTGCTGCCTGTATAGTACTGAACACCCTACCTCCATTGACTTGCAGTAACTAGATGATTGGGGGACTCTATCACTTGACAAATGACAGGCTCATGCAATAGATGGCTTAAAGAACCGGAACAAGTGAAATGTACAGTACAAGTGGATGGATAATTCAAAGGGCCATGGAGGATGCTAGATAACTTTCAAACAATCATTCCTCTAAAGGCCTACTGGAGTAAGTCATCCATGTGACACCCATGCAGCTTCAGGAATTGAACCTGTATCTGTAGGTCCAGAAATATAAAACTACTACCTGAGTCAGGAAGCTAGGCCTGTTGGTGTGAAGACAGTAGTATAATCTAGTGATCTAACTATTTGAGGGGGGATTGAATGCCGCACTATTGTCATGTGCACTAGCAGAAAAGATGACAGGGATTTAGAAACTCTGGAGTAGGCCCATTCTTCTTCACCTAGATATAGAAGGTGTGTTAAGTAGAGTTAGCCAAATTGATGGACAATCCTGGTAAAGATCTAGCAAACAGTATCTTCACACAAGTCAGCAGACTGAGGAAGAAGCTGGATTATCCATAGGAGAAAATTATGACTGCCTTCTCCTTTAAGGGGTAAATCCTTATGTTGGCAACCTGAATGGTGAACTCACTGTTTTTCTACTGGATAGGAACCCTTGATCAGCTTGCAAATCAAACCAGCCTTCTACATTTAAAATGGAGGCTTTAGATATTTCTTTCATTTTGTAATGAAACATTTTTATGAAAAAATATAATTTACCAAAGCATC